TTCTCTCATGGGGAGGGAAATGGGACTGGCAATTGCTTAACACTCATGCTGAATAAAATATTCATAGTCCCAGCCCTGCCAAAAGCATTCTATAAAAATTACAGTACTATAATTTATATAATATATGCTTGGCCTTGCACAGAAGTACAGAAAATTCAAAACTAGACATAGATTCTAACAAGTCCTCTGAAGTGCAGCTAATCTTATTTTTAAATGGGCATAGGAGAGAATTAACATCAAAACTTACAGAGATTCCCAAATATGGCCTCTGAGGGATGTCACTGGTTAAAACAGAATGAAAGATGGAATAAAGAAAATCCATTGGTTAGCAGATGCTGATATGACCTAGCCAGCATCCCTTTCTCACAGAAATAGGATACATGAACCACAGCCAGAAAATATTCATCATTTTTATGAGCTGGCTGTTGTTAATGACACTGACACTGGGTGCTCCCCAAAGGTTGCATGTTCTGGGGTCATCTTTTCCCATATTTAGAGAACCAAATGTAGAAAGACATATAACATTCCTTTCCAAAGCATGCCAAGTTTGGGATTTGAGAGAAGGTCTCTTTAGTCTTTTGAGGGGTATCCACTCTTTCTGAGTAAGATTCTACTTGAGGTTTTTTAGCCTTCCTCTCCTAGTCTCCACACAAACATCCCAGCTCCAGTCATCCCTCTGTATAAACAGTTCCTTGTGGGACATGAGAACTTCTCAACTTCCAGCTGGTAACTGGCCTCTTTTTGGTGGCTAAAGAGACCAATGGCCTCTGGATGCCAAAGTGGGTGCATGTCTCTGAAGAATGAAACAATTATTTGACAACAGTGCCTGGAATGAAGCAATATCATTTCTGGAATGACGCACAAAATTGTTTCTCACATTTGGCACAGGAAGGGCTGCAGCTGCTGGCCTTCCTGTCAAGTCGTGGAGCTGTGGAATGGATTCTTTCCCCTCTGGCAGATCCTTGCAAGAAGTGAACTGGGGAGAACATGAAGGGATTTATGTTGTCTTGCTTCATCTACAAGGGCTGGATGACTCTCTGTCTGCTCATGCTGAAGGCCAACAAAGGGCACTGACTTGATTAGATTATTTCCTAGCACTTGATCGTGTAATCCCGTGCATTAAGCTTCAGTGATGCACAGCACAGAGGTCCTCTTGATGGCAACTGGAGTATCTAAAGTCTGCCTCTAGTTCTAAAACAAGCCTATGGCTTTATGTGGAAAAAAAAGATTTGTCATTCTTGTACGAAGACATGATCTCATGAAGCAGTAAAGCGAATGGCCTAGGATTACTCTGCATTTGCACACTGGGCCTAGAGTTCCATTTCCATGTCTACAGCAGATCTCATCACAACAACTTTCCAGTGGGATATTGAGACACAGATGGCAGGTGCTTGAGCTGTTGGGTTCTCAGCCAGTTTTGGTTCCTTGGCCTCATTCTTTCCTCCACTGTCTCAACTGTGAATATTGTTCTGCTTTTGTGAGCTAGCCAGAGGATTTATAATGCATATAGCATATAGCAAGCTACTTCAGGCTAGGGACTGGGGAGCACAACAGCAGAAACCCCTATAGTGTCCAACCAAGGTTGTTTTATTTGAGGAGTATTAGCTTTCTTTAAATGCCTCCTTGCCTGTTCACAATAGTGCTGTGGGTTTTGTGGTCATGATTTTCGTGAAGAACAGTATCAAAACCATTAATTGCAGGGCAGAGATAGATGGCTTTGAACTTATTTATTTCAATGAGACTTCAGTGTGCCTAAGTTTACCTATAGTTCAGTGAACCAGAAAAGATAACACTATTTTAATTACATTTTCATAAATTGGTCTTTGGATTCTTTGACACCCAAAGCAGTAAATGAGGAAGTAAAGAATAAGACTTTGGATTCTCCACGCCAATGTCTCTGCATATTTTCTTATTTTCTTTTTGTTTATGTTGCTCAGAAAATCTCAGCCTAGGAAGAGTCCTGTGTGATTCCAAAACTCACAGAATTTTTTTAAAATATGGTGTAATTTAGATGTAACTGTTACCCTACAACTTTCTGTCATTTCTCTATTGTGTTCCCTAGTTGGGTTTCAGACCAAATGTATGGACATACTTTATGAAGCCTTTTAATTTCTTTCAGAATGGTGAAATTCGGGAGGAGTCTGGTAACACCTTTTCAGAATAATATATTTTAATAAAAGGTGTAAACTTTCACGAAGTATAGCTCATTTTATTAGATGCATCTTAAGTGGGGTATAGTTCATGGATGCTTTATGTCTTTTAATAAAATGTATTAGTCTGAAAAGACACTACCAGACTTTTTCTAATGTATTTACCATAGACTAACAAACTACAGTTTCAGAGAATTGGGAAACATAATAAGCAACTCTAGTGTTAGAGAAAAAGGAAGAATTGATTTCAAAGGTCAGCAATTAAAGATGGATTTGGCTTGGAACATTCCTCTTTGTTCTAGACCAGTGGTTCTCAACCTTTTTAATGCCCCGACCCCCAACCGGTCGTAAGTTGAGGACTACTCAACCAGTCATAAATCGAGGACTACTCAACTGGTGCAGCATCGTTTGCAGACTGGGACTTTTGGCGGGCTCAGCAGGGCAGAGACAGCCTGGACAATTCCTATTGGCTTTTGAAAGCCAATAGAATTAGACTCTATTCAAGAGAGTCTATTCTATTGGCTTTCAAAAGCCAATAGAATAAAAGGGAGTAGCATAGCTAAGGAAAAGGGGAAAAAATGGCGGACTGAGTTGTTTGGTGACCCCCGTGAAATGGTCGTTCGACCCCAAATGGGGTCCCGACCCACAGGTTGAGAACCACTGTTCTAGACAGCGAATTAAGAGAGAGACATAAAAACTTCTGTGGGACACTTAGTTTTCTTCCCTCTTTTTTGCTCATAAGACATGTATGTATAGGGTATGATGTGGTTAATGATGGGTACCTTGAAGGGAGGGAGGGAGGGAGGGAGGAAGGAAAGAAGGAAGGTTTGGAGACCCTGAGCACAAGTTTTTGTTTCATCACAAAAGACCTCTGATTGTAAATATGGCAGGAATATTTTATTCTCTCAATAACCCAAGCCCATTTGCTTGCTTTGCTTTTCGGGACAAGAGAAGTTGTTTACTTTGCTAGGAAAAAGGCCAGATGCAAGAGGAGCTGTTTTGCATGCAAAGCTTTTATTGGAAGGATTGTGAAAAAAGAGGAGGGTAGGCTAAGGAAATTGTAAGCCTTTAGAAATCTTTTTTTTTGCTAGTTAAAAATACATGATTGTAACATTGAATGATCGATATGTGTGTAAAATCTTATCAAAATGGCTTTCTACACTTTAATAAGTTAATAGGGCATTTCATTTATGATCAGAGATCAGCAATTTGGTTAATACATAAGACTTGGACATAATGGCATATTTATTTTATTGCCACTTCTTTTTAATTTATACTGTACAGAGGCAAGTATGAGGAGCCTTAATGTAAACATATTGGAAAATTAGTGGTGGAAACAATAATATGCAGATGATACCACTCTACTGGCAGAAAATGAAGAGAGTATAAAACAACTTATCCTAAAACATAAGGCAGAAATTGAAAAGGTTGGACTGTGCTGAAACATCAACAAGACTAAAGTAATGACTATAGCTGAAAATGGTGGCAGCCAAATAAAAATTGGCAATGAAGAAATTGAATCAAACAAGGACTCTTTCCCTCAGTTTCAAAATGAACCATGCAGGAGACACTGGACCAGAAATTAAATGGAAATTACCACTTGGGTATACTGTAATGACTAGCATGGAGAAGACCTGGAAAAGCAAGGTCATCAGGCTTAATACCAAGGGCAGAATAATAAATATTATGGTTTTTCTATAATAACTCACAGTAGTAAAAGTTGGATAATTAAAAAAAAAAACACATCAAAGAATACTATAACCCATTAAACTGGGCTATATCTTGGGCAGGAAAAAAAAAAAACCACAAATGAATTTTTAGACCACATCTAGCCAGAAATATAATTGGAGGTTAAGATTATCAAACTAAGACTGTCTTGCTATATAGTTTGTTCAAATCTAGAAAAAACAGTTATGCTAAAAATGGATGGAAGGACTAGAAAAGGAATGTGACAAACAGCACCTTGGATAGAAATAATCGCATAAGATACAGGTTTAAAAGTAGAAAATTTAAACAAAATTCTGGAACAGCAGCAAATGGAAAATAAAATCTAATGTATAAAGCCTCCAAGAGTCAGAAGTGACTGAACATATGAGGAAAGAGAGAGAGAGTTTCCTGATGTGGAGAGCTTTCATAGGCCATGCTTCATTGCCCATGGAAGTTTTCCTATTCATTTTTATGGATCCAGTTTGCAACAAGGGATAGATTAAGTCCCATAAATAAATGGAAAAAGCCATACCTGAGAGAAAAACCTCTTTACTGTACTAATCATTGGATCAGAATGATAAAAGAGCAATAAAAGCAATCATTGTCTGAAAAATGTGTTTTGTCATTTATTGTAGAACTATGCTTTGTTGTCACTCAACATTATCTTAACTTTTTTTTTCCTCTACAAATTTGGGAGATTTTTGCCAGATGTTCAATGGGATGTTTGATGCTTAATAAATTAAACCAAATCTGACATTTGGCTTTCAGAAGCAATAATCAGTTGGCCATACTTCTGCCTTGCTCTGCAATATATTAAGTACTAACGGAACAAGAATGCGGCATTTGAGAGTAACTGATATCTGGCAAGCAGTATTTTGACAGTATCTAACAGAGTTTTGCATTTGTAAGTATCTCCTAGATGGACAAAAGGTGGTAGGTGACATGCATTGATACACAGCAATGCTACCATTTTATTATACTTTACAATAGACTTGCAACAAAAATTAGTTAACTTATTCATTTAGCAGATCCTGGCAGATAAATCAGATGTTAAGTTTTAGATTCAGCAACTGGATATTAAGTTGGAGAACATGGAGAATATAACTAGAGGAGAGTTGAAAACTGTACCCAAAGAGTACTCACCAATCCTCCTTCATCAAGTTGGGGTGAAGTATCAAATGAAAACTATTTCATTCCTGGGCCCTGCAATCTTAAATGATGATCTTCAATGATGACCTGGATGAAGATATAGAGGAAAGAAAACAAAACAAAACCAAGGTATTCAAGATAGCTAGCACTTTTAAAAAAGAGAAATAAAAATCAAAATATTTTTGACAGATTAGAGAACTGAGTTGAATTTAATTTAACAAATAGAGTATAGGATATAGGATATAGGAGAATATAGGGGAATTCTTGACTTGGCTAGTGAAAGAGAGCTTGGGATAGTCACTGACTCTGAAGTGTCTAGCTCAGTGGTTCTCAACCTTTTTAATGCCGCGACCCCCAACCGGTCGTAAGTCAAGGACTACTCAACCGGTCGTCAGTCTAGGACTACTCAACTGGTGCAGCACCGTTTGCAGAATGGGACTTTTGGCGGGCTCAGCCTGGACCAACAGCCTGGACCATGCCTATTGGCTATTCAAGAGAGTCTATTCTATTGGCTTTCAAAAGCCAATAGAATAAAAGGGAGTAGCACAGCTAAGGAAAAGGGGAAAAAAATGGCGGACTGCATTGTTTGGCGACCCCCGTGAAATGGTCGTTTGACCCCAAATGGGGTCCCGACCCACAGGTTGAGAACCACTGGTCTAGCTGCAGTTTTAGGTTGCATAATCAGAAATATAATTTTCTAATAATGAGAAATAGTTAATCTTTATTCTGTGTTGGTCAAGTTCCACTTTGACGATTGTGTCTTCTTTAGGAAGGATTCAGATAAATTAGAGCAAGTTCCGAGAAGGACAATAAGAATGATCAAGGAACCAGAACCTAAGGCTTCTGCATGAAGGAAGTGGGAACACTCAATCTGGAGAAGAAAAGACTGAAATGAAATATAATAACATGTTTCAAGAATCTGAAAGCATCTCATCCCAACCCACAGGTCTATTTAAGAATTTAACATTCAAGAAAGCAGATTCCCAGAAAATATTAGGAAAAAAAAATCAAATAGCAAGAATAATAGCAAAACCACTTATCTGGAACAGGAGACCAAAAAGAGGCTAATAATCATTTTTTGGGAGTAGTTTCATTTCCATTGCTTTTCTTTCTTTCTTTCTTTCTTTCTTTCTTTCTTTCTTTCTTTCTTTCTTTCTTTCTTTCTTTCTTTCTTTCTTTCTTTCTTTCCCTCTGTCCCTCTCTCCCTCCCTCAAAAATGTTAAATACATATATCTCAACCTTTCTATGTGCATGAGTGAGTGTGCATAAAGCAGTGTTTCTCAACCTTGGCAATTTTACGATGCGTTGATTTCAACTTTCAGAATTCCCCAGCCATTTGAAGTCCATATATCTTGAAGTTGCCAAGTTTGAGAAAGGTTCTATAGCTATATATCAGAACAAGGAGTCTTCAAAGAATAATAAAAAAAAAAAATCTAGATACCAGCAACAATCATGCAATCAAAGCCCTGTACTTTTTTTTTCATATTCTGAGCTCTGGAGATAGCCCTGCACCACAGATAGATAATTGGAAGCCCCAGGACTTTATGAGGTCCCCATCCGAACCCCTCAAAAAGTTAATTTGATAATAAAGGAAATTACTGAACATTTAATAGAATTCTTATTAATTGTATACCATGGATTTAAATGATATTTAATTTTGTCTGGCTATGTATCCTCTGGAACCACACACCATGACTGTGTGTTGCTCTTCTCAAGAATAAAGAATAAAGCTTCTACAATTTTGTTCTGTAGGGTTGCATTATAGCTGTAAGAGTTTAGAAAGTTAAGATGACAAATTCTGCTTTTGATCTGATCATAAACACAGAAGCTCAGTAGAGGCAGTGGTAGGACCTGAACTAGCTGCTACCATTGAAGATTCCACTAAGGAGTCATGCATTTTGCTTCATATTTACTGCAGAAAATGCTCCTTGGCTATAAACTATGGATTTGGTATCACCTGGGGCTTAATTTTACATTTCTGGGGAAATAGTACCCTAGCCCTCCCTCCCAACTCTGTCCCATTGTTAATTAACTGCTATGAACTACCTGAAGTAGAGGTTATAATCGGTCTTGATTCTACTGAAGGACAAGTACACCCACACGAGATAGTAATTTATTTTCTATTTGGACATTTCCTTTGCTTTCTTTGGCTTAGGAAGAGAAAATATGATAAATTTCTCGCTTGGAGCGGGTTCCGGGAACTCTGCCGTCAAACATGGTGGGTGTTATTTTGGAATGCCTAGTGCTAGCAAATATATATCACTTGCCCCTTTCCTTTCTCTTGTTACCTCAAATATGTTTCCCAAATGTCCTATTTGCTTTACAGCAAGATTTTGTGAGGATTATGTTGAAGTATTGCATAACAAGTTGAGCTGCAAGCTAACCAATTGCATTTTAGCCTAGCCTATTGCATGAACCCAGGCTGCCCGATTCAGGGTGTCATGTGAACTCACAACATTGGGCCAGTGGAGAGAAGCATGATTAAGTTTACCATGGATAATATAGTCTTTGGTTTATAGTGCTACAGTACTATATTTTCCTGATGGAGAATCAAAAGGCTAAAAAATCTTCTCCCACTTGTATGATAAGAACTCAGATCTTAGAGAGGGATTGGCTTATGATTAGGGCTGTCTAAAAATAAAACTGAAAGAAGGACTAAAGACCTGGGAAAAGTAGAGGCAGAAGGCCAAGAAGGGTAGGATGGAAAAGAGAGATGATGAAAGGATTAAAATAAATAGAAGTGGAAAGAAAATTATGTATGATTGCATTCTCAGAATGGGCTAAAAACCAAAGCCAAACCAACCCTATTATAATGGATTGATTTCGACCTAGCATGTGTATGAACCCATCCATTGAGGACTGTAAGTTGAGATTTTCTGATTTAGCTCAAGGTGCAAACCTAACCAATTGTGATTTAGTGAGGGATAGCATAAGAAATAGACCCAGGTTCATATCCCATATTAAGTTGCTGAGCATACAACTGAATCTGGTCTTTTTCAATGTGTGGATGAATTCCTTTCTCTATCTGCCTACCTATCCCAGTGAAACTATTCTTTTTTTTAAAGACATTTTATTGATTTTTTAAGATTCTTAAACAAAAAGTACTCAAGACCCACTGTGATGGTTAGGTGGTCAAACATTCAAAAGTATATATATATATATATATATATATATATATATATATATATATATATATATATATATATATACAACACAACTCAATAAATTTCATTATCCCCTCTCTATTCCCCTCAGTTAACATAATACCTTTAAATATTCCATTTCTATTTTAAATTTCTATCACTATCAAACCTGTGTTATAACTTTATCAGTTTAGTAATAGTAAGAGTAGTAAAGTTGGAAGGGACCTTGGAGGTCATCTAGTCCAACCCCCTGCTCAGGCAGGAAACCCTACATCATTTCGGACAAATGGCTGTCCAGTCTCTTCTTAAAAACTTCCAGTGTTGGAGCATTCACCGCTTCTGGAGGCAGGCTGTTCCACTTATTAATTGTTCTCACTGTCAGGAAGTTTCTCCTTAGTTCTAGGTTACTTCTCTCCTTGATTAGTTTCCACCCGTTGCTTCTTGTCCTGCCTTCAGGTGCTTTGGAAAATAGCTTAATTCCTTCTTCTTTATGGCAGCCCCTGAGATACTGGAATACTGCTATCATGTCCCCCCTTGTCCTTCTCTTCGTTAAACTAGACATGCCCAATTCTAGCAACCGTTCCTTATATGCTTTAGCCTCCCCTAATCATCTTTGTTGCTCTTCTCTTTACTCTTTCTAGAGTCTCAACATCTTTTTTACATTGTGGTGACCAAAACTGGATGCAGTATTCCAAGTGTGGCCTTACCAAGGCATTGAAGAGTGGTATTAATACTTCACGTGATCTTAATTCTATCCCTCTGTTAATGCAGCCTAGCACTATGTTAGCCTTTTTGGCAGCTGCAGCACACTGCTGGCTCATATTAAGGTGATTGTCTACTAGGACTCCGAGGGCCCTCTCACAGTTACTACTATTGAGCATGGTGCCACCTATGCTGTAATTATGCATTTGGTTTTTCTTGCCTAAATGTAGAACCTTTACAAATACAATAGTTTAGATTTAAATCAAAAAATTATCGATTCTAATTCTTAATCTCTCACATCCCTCATTTTACACCAACCTCATTTATTTCTTCTTCCACTATACAATAGATATCTTAATAGCAATAAAATATTGATCAGCCCTATATATATATGTAATCCCAAAATCAATCCATCTCTTTAAAATAACAAAATAATACTAAACCTTGATTCATTCATATTCATTAAACAAAGTTCAAATTTTCTCCAGCTTATCATGCTTTATCATGTCTTTGTTGTCATACAAGAAATCTATCCTAGTAATTTAAAACATTCCATAAATTATTAAAAGCACCTCAATCTAAGCAGTCATCATTTTTGCAATTCCAGTAAATAACAAATTTCATATATTTCCCAAACATTACATAGGTACAATCCAATACATTCTTAATCTATTTAAAATATCTACTCTAATAATCATGCTCCTATATGTATATATATTTAATCACTTCTAACTCTGAATCTTAGTCCTTAAACAATTCATAAATCCAATATTGCTTTTTATTCCATTACACAATTTTAAATTTCTCTTTTAAATCTAATTCTAGGTTTTTTCCTGTACTAAGTAGGTTTCCATATTTTCAATCAATAAGTCTATTTTTGTTGCTTGGAATGGTCTTTGAAGAAATAAAAGTCCCATCCTCTGGATCAGACGTCTGTTTTTTTCCTCTTTAAAATATCGTTGCTTTATAATTTCAAATCTCAGTCTTTGTCCAGTGAAACAATTCTGTTCCTATTGTTCATAGTACTAGAAAACTATTTTCCCAGCATCCCTCCTGCTTAACTCAGAGGACACAGCAAAACTTGTAGCATGACATAGCAAAACTGTGCCATTGCAAGGCATGCTTCCAGCAAGCAGGTTGGGATGAAAGATTCAGGGTCAGCTGGATTTAGAACTATGTTGTCCTAAACCTCTTCCAAGGCTACAGCCAAGAAATGTATAGCCAACACTTTCCCACCAGTCT